TAGAAGTTTCAGGTTACAACTACACTCCTAACGATCAAATCAATGTTGGTTCTCCCATTGCCCACTTTACCGTTACAAGTTCTTGGATTTCTGAGTTGAAATTGCATGTAGCAGTATCATAGTAGAAAGAAACTATAGGCCTGATCGAGCAACTTGTTCCTTCAATTAAGGCGACAAATCGCTTGCAAAAAATAAAACAAGGAGCAAAGTTAATAACAATGATTAGTATGGGGAACCCTGATCTTAGAACTTGAATCCCATTGAACGCTGCTATCAATCTAGAAGTGCATCGCTATTGTTAATGGGTCTATCACTTATAAGTTTTATTTTGGAAATTTATTTATAGCAATTCGATATTTTACAATTGAAATAAATCCGAAGTTTGATCGTGCAACTAATATCTTCAGCTAAGGCACAAAATTGATAACAATGATTATTTTAGTTCGGGGTCAGCATTAGCATTTTTATGACGAGCCTAGTCTTGGAACTTGAGCCCCGCCGAACACAATTAGTGAATCACTAATGTTGATGGGTCTGTAAATTAGAGATTACCTTTTAAAAGATTTTTAAAAGGGCATTTGTAGATCATAGCCTATTTGAGTGAATCCATTTGAAGGGGGAAGGGAGGTGTAGATTTAAGGTTTTTTTTTGGAAGATTTATCTAAATGACAAATTTAAATTTGAGTTTGTTTTGTAAAAAATTACCAATTAAAGAGTTGTGTTTCTTCAAACACGTGATTCAATCATACGATGCTACTAAAACTGCCACAATTGGTCATTACATGAATTTAGATGTTTATACAAGGATGCTCATAGTTACCCGTGGTACATCTGCTCCAAAACTCTAGCTACAACATAATTGCGCTGGAATGTAAATTTAAAAAAATCTTACCTCCGCCTAATACCTCTCCTACCGAAGTAGTGCCCAAACCTTTGAGTAAATTCACCCTTTACCCCAAAAAAAGATCCAATATTCGCCTCCAAAGTCGTGCTCAGCTTGCCCTTTCCGCAAGTGCTAGAGGGACCGGTCGAGCGAGACGCCTGATTCAGCTGAACCAGAGCTAAATCGACAAAATAGTGTATACCACCATTACATGTCTGTGTGGCATGCCTCGTCAGCCCGATGGGTGGGCCCTTTGTGTCAATTGGGAGACAATTTGCTAAATGTGTTACATTATGACAACAAGTTTGATGAATGTGGTACATTATGTCAACAATTTTTATAAGACAATGGTTAAAAACAAGTTTGATAAGAAGAGTACACGTGGGTAATTTTTTTTAATGGGTGCTTACTGTCACAAACGTGATCGTTGGAAGTACAAAGTGGATTTTACTCAAAAGATTTTTATGTGTATTGTTGTTAATGTGCTGAATTGTCTCACCATCAACTTTTTAATGTTTTCCTTCATCTGCATTCTATCTCATGGATATGTAGAAGATTTGCAAAATCTCCTCCAAACTGTCTTACACAGATATATGTTGATTGGATTGCCTCTTGTATTGTAAACAAATCATAGTCCATGCTACAAATTAAGACATTGTAAATTAAATTTTCTAGGACATGTAATATGTACACTATCCTTTTGTCAAGATGAACATGTCCGGTAACCGCACATCATGTTCTAGTGATTAGAGTGACATCCATCCAAACCTCTGCTGCAATTGTACCACTGCTGCCAAGCAAATCTTCACGCGGGGTGAACGGGTAGCAATTCCGAAGTTTGTCCGAAGAGACAAATTTGAAGTGAAAGGAGCACTCTGCTCTCAAGGAAAACTAATAAACTGCAGGCCAATAATTCCTCTCCACACAAACAAGGTCTGAGCTTGAGTCACAATGGAGTTAAACAAACAAATTTGAACGAAACCCCAAGTTCTGTACATATGTGCGCATAATGTGATTATTACAACACTATAAGGAAAACATAACCTATCAAAGACGCTGTATATCTGAGGCCAAAAGAGAATGAAAGAATTGGTGTCCTTACAAAAAAAATACCAGGGCACAATAAGTCTCTCCAACCAGTGTGTTTCTATACTGTACACATCTCAGCAGAAGTTTCTCAAACCGTATACATGTATGTGTATCCCTAACGGCGATTGGTTCGGAGCGACTTAAAATGTGCAGCGAAAGAATCATAGTCTGTTGGAAGCTTGGGGTGAACATGGGCAGGACCAGCTGTTGGGGTGCTTACTTTCAGGGTCTCTGCTGAGGTCTCTCTGTTTCCCTCGTTTTCTGGAGAAGAACTTCCCTCCGGTTCATCTTCTTGCCACCTGTCTCTAGCTGTGGGAGGTTCAATGCGCACAGGATTTGGCGAAGATTGCTGTACTGAAACCCTGGAGTATGCAGGTGCTGCTTTTCTTTGTTCAGTACTCGAGTTGGAGAATGCTTTAGCAGGGCTTTTTGGCATGCTTTCAGTTTCAACAGCATACGGTGCTCCAGCCCGGGCTCGGCCATCTCTCTTTGTATCGGGTGCTACCTCCCTGGTCCTCCGTGATTGTATCTGCTCTTTAGACAACTTTGTCCGGCCAGACCGGCGTCGTTCCAATTCTTCTTCGCTCTCATCTGAATCAAAGAAAGTTCTGACAGTTCTTGATCTACTTTCCCTGCGCACCCCACTACCCGGTCTTTCAAGATGTGGCTCTTGAATAGAATTTTCCCTAACAGAAGTCTTGGCTGGGCTAGAAATTGGACTGCCAGATCGTTCAGATAACTTCCCTGTATCACCTGAATAGAAGTCGTTCCTCGTCATGGATGATCTCGATTCCAAAGGTTTGCCAACAGTATGTCTCCCATCGAGATGTTCACTGTGGTAATTTGCACCAAAAGAATTCTTGGTTGCGCGTGAACCTTTAGGAGTATCACCCATCTGTTCAGATGATGGGTCATTCTCTTTGAAATGCACTGATTCTTCAATGCTGGCAGGAGCTCCTTCTAAGGACTGTTTTCGCAGCAAGTTATCCCCAGAAATTTTGTATTGTGGACCTTGCCTGAGTTTGTTTCTTAGTCCAGGAGTTAACCTTCCATAATTCAGGCCAAGATCACCGTCATCGCTGTCATCAGATGTTGCTGAAGTTGGCATGCGGAAGGGCGAGGGCCGATTCTCATTTGCTCCTGTTATCCCTGAGGATGTACCTTTCAATTTATGTGGTTCTGTTTCTTCTTCTGAAAGATCATAATCTCTGCTTTGCAGACGACCCAAGTTCTCCTGTGCCCCCGAATAGTCATATCTAGGTGAACCATCACTGTTTTGCTCCTTGCGGAATACATCAGAACCTGGTGGATTCTGGTATTGCTTGCTGGGCCTAGATTCATGATCTTCAATAACATCAGGAACAGACTTTCCAGAATTCTTATTGAACATTTTGTTCTCCGAGTAATCAGATCCTCTTGAATGGGTCCTTAAGATATGCATGTCTGTACTTGTTTCCTCGTCAGAACTAACACCATCTGAATCAAAAGTAGGTGGTCTAGTATCATTCAGGGGAATGTCCTCTTCTTTGTTTGCTCCTAAATCATAAGATGGCTGTGTTTCTGTTCTTGAAAAGAGAGTTGAAGTGCTATGATCAACCGGAGATTCACTTCTAGGCTGCTGACTCCAATCTGCACTTGAGAATCCCTTGTGGTCCTGCACAGTTGGCAGCTCTTCAGTATGTTTTGAAGAGAAATGATCCAACAAGTTCTCTTCTTGAACATCATGGTCATATTCATCGAATAAAACAGCTGAAGAATCAGCTCCAGCTTTATCATTCTGGTTGTCCCAAGACGTACTGCTGCCACCGTGGGAAGCACTAAAATTACTATAGTGGTTATTCCTGCTCTCTTGATCAAAGCTAGCTTGCCTGCTTCCTATATCCTTGGTGTGGTGCCAATCAAATCCAGCATCTGGCAACCTTTCCTCATGCAAATCAAACGGGTGATCCTCAGGTCTTCTGATATTGCTTTCTTTCTCGGATGAATCATCAAAATATGGAGGCTCAGACGAATCATTAAAATATGGAGGCTCAGATGAATGAGCATGATGTGGTTCAGTTGGCATGTCATGATCAGTATGGCTTTCAGGAGCATACGAGTGGAGCTGAGAGGAGTAAGGAGTTGACATATTCTTGCTACTCGCACGGTTTGTTTCTGCTTTTCTTCATTTTTTCTTGTACTACTTGAGATCATCCTTGGATCATTAATACCTGAACTCTGCTCATTAAAACTCTTACCATCCTTCATCAAACGTCCAGCTTGTTGCTTCCTGGGTGTAGTGTCATTCATATAAGCAGTTGATTCATAAGAACCAGTATCTTGGTCTGCATAGAAGTTTCCACGGCTAGCAAGTTGGGCAGCAGCTCGGGCAGCAATGCTTGCCATCTCTGCAGAATCTGCTGCTGCCTGGGCTGCAGATGCTGCATCCTTGAATTCCACATTCCAATTGGAACCACTAGCTGAAGACTTCCTTTCCCTAGGTCGGTTGATCTCTTCAGTCCTGGATACTGAGTCTGCAAAGATAAAATAAACTAGTAAGTACGAAGAATACCAAAGCATTAAAAAGTGACGATATTAAAAAGAAGTACAACCTACAATCGTACCTGGAACTGTTGAGCCAAATTGGGAGTGAGGTCTAGAAACACTTGAACTCCCAGTATTAGAGTAGTTGTTAGATCCAGGAATATTTGCTGAGGAATAAGTAGTTGCACCATGTTGGAAGCTAGGAGGCACTGAAGCATCCGAGCCCCTTCTATTTTCCTGTGTGGAAGCATTAGAGTTGGCAGTGTCATGTGGGTTTCTATTAGCTGGAGCTTCAGAAGATTCATAAGAAGGTCCTGCAGGCACACGAGAAGTGGCTGGTTGAACAGATGAATAGGGAGCTGCTGCAGGTTGAGGAGTTGGCACATTAGAAGCAGATGACCCCGAAGTTGGAATGTTTCCTCCAGAATATTGTGATCCATACTACATGACAGACAATAGATCAGGTTAGAGCCAAAATACTCAACCTAAAAAAAATTCAGGTCTGTCAATTTACCATCCGATCTTCATTTTGCTTCTGCTCCTCAAATGCTTTTGGCTCCCATTTTATGTTATGCTCTGCCGCAATTGAGCTCAAGGTTTTGGTTTTAGTCTGTACATCCGGTGCTCCTGCTGAGAGCTTCTCGATTACCTGTATGCACAGTAATAATTGTTTTAAAATGTGTACAGCTGCAAAACCTTCGTCCAATTCAAAAACTGAAAAGCAGAAAAATACCAGACGGTTTACACCACTGTCAGGTCGCACTTCAAGAGCTGATGTGGCAAATTCTTTCCCATACTTGCTTGTGAAATTCTTCCGAACATCTGCTAGTTCTGTGACATCTGAACATCTCATTGATGCAAATATAACACTCGCTATTGCCTCCTTCAGATCAATAGGGCAAGTCCTAGATTTCAGGCAAACAAACATGTAACTGTAAGTACAGAATATTCAGGGCAGAAATAGATATGTGCCATGAGAGCACAGCAGAAAATAGGACCAACATAAATGTCTATTCAATCAACAATAGTTTCAATTTGTTTTGGACTTGATGATTCATATTCCTGTGATATTTGTTAATGTTTTGAAAAGCGCACAAGTCCTCAATAACTATAACAGAATTATGCTGTAAATTGCTGATAAAGAAGCTCCATGCAAGTGCAACTTTCCTGAAGGGACTGATCTTTCATGTCAGTGGTGGCACTTGGCTTGAGAAACAGATTGTCAATATTTCAATTATTCAAGACTTGCAGTACCTTCTGAACTGAATAACAATTTAACATATGGGCTTGCAATGAAAAAAGAAAGGAGCATGTCACTTTTTATCCAGATTGGCTGCACCAGTGCACCGGGCAAGCTCCAGTGAACCACCAAAATTCAGCGATACCCTAAATTTTGGTCATCATTTGGATTGGTGCCATTATTTGGCATGGCCCAGGGATTTGGCAAGCTTTTATTCCAACCTTCAACAAAGTCATGGTCAGCGAGAACCGCCTCTTGTTGGGTTGGTGCAGTTATGGGGGTACAATTTCACCCACCAGGGTCTAAATCCTGGTGCTCACGCTTACACACTTGCACAGGGGTGTTCAATAGAAATTTAGTGAAAATTGGAACAAAGTTTTGTTGATGAATCATTCTTCCTATCTGTATGACTACCTGGTCAGCATCACCGAGCCAAATTTTGGCTCACCCGTGTTTAGTCCATTATTTTTCTGGCACCAAAAATCGTGCCTGCAGTTTGGTCATGGCCAATATTTGTTAGGGTAAACTGGGGTCATTCAAACACCCTTAGTTTTCAGGTTACCCTGGAAAGGACTCTACATGAATAATATGCAGCGGTTTTTATAAGCTCAGAAGAGTCCAGCTAAATCATGATGTGCCATTAAGGAAAAAGATAAAAGGTAACTCATTACCCAAGAAACCATACCCTAGTTCGCTGATAATGGATAAAAGATAACTCCTACCCTATCAACTACAGAAATAGTCCAAAAATGAGATTGAAGTGATACTCCTCAAACTATAAACTGTGTGTCTGCTTCTCTTAATGATAAGAAAGCAATTTCAGACATCAGATAAAGACATATGGACCAGTAAGTACTAGTTTACAGACAAGAAATATAAACTTGGCTTACTTCTGTGAATCAATAATGGACATGCGTGCCACTATAAGTTCGCAGTACACTTCAATCAAGTCATATGCTTGCATGAACTTCTCTTCCCTTATGACATGTTCAACCTGTGGGGGTGGATGACATAGGTCAGTAGTAGAAGAAAATGCCATACAAAACCACAGAATTTCGCGCGTCAAGCGATCAGACACAGTTGAGCACAGAAATTGGCCATAACATAATGTAAGTATGTAACAGGGAAGATAGATCAACACAATGGACCAAATATTGGGCTAATGAACCCAAGAAAGGCATGTGGTGTGGAAGACCAATCACCTAAACGAAACAGCAGTGGCCATATTATTTCTATGCTCTCCAGATTATAGCCACTTCACCAATGTTCGAGTAGAAACGTCTAGAGTGGACTTTATCCCCGTAATCGAGTACTCCGTTCGTCCACACAATTACATCATCAATTGGACGACCTGTGCTAGTAGTACTAGGATGACATGAGCATGGTGGAGGGTGGGGGGAATCGAGGCGTACCCTGATGCGCGCGGTCTGGTCCTGGTTGCCGTCGAGCAGCTGCGCGACCTCGCGGCGCATCTGGCACACCTGCACCTCCTTCTTGTTCCGCAGCAGCTTGATCCGCGCCATGGCCATCTTGAGGGCAATCTTGCTGAGACGCCACAAAAACAAAAACAAAAGCAAAAGCAAGCGTTCAATCTCGCACCCCGCAGAAACCAGCGGAGAAGGAAGAAGCAGGAACCGGCGAGCAGAGACGATCTGGACTGACCACTTGTCGGGCTTGAAGCCCTTGCTGAGGACGCCCGACAGCTTCCCCTTGCTCCTGTGCATCTTCCGCGCGCGCGGCAGCACCACGCAACGCCCCGGCTAGATTCCAACGGGGTCGAATCGGATCGGCTCCGTCGGGAGGCGGCGGGGCTGCTTTACAAGGAGTATTATAGAAGATGCTTCCTCTCCGCGTTGGTGAGGTAGATTGGAAAGGGGGCTCACGCGGCGGATGCGTGTGCTACCGCCAAGGGGAAGGGGAAGGAAGGGGGAGGAGGAGACTTTGTTGGTAGGAAACGGAACCGTTTTTTTGCGGGTGGGATTTCCGTGACGCGTGAGCGGCGCTTTCGCCCCGCCTTCTTCAACGCTTCCGTTTGTCGATTCGCGTCAGGGAGGGGATTGACCTGACCGCCGCATGGAGGTGGGATTTCCGTTGGGTTTGGCGGGGATCTTAGGATGACAGGCACCTGGCGATTTACCATAAGCACTTGCCCATTTTTGTTCTTCCACTTCATTTGAACCAGCACATTTTTCTTCTTATACAAAGCCACGCTGCAGCCTGCAGGTGTGGTCGGCCATTTTATGTTGATGGATGCTTGAATGAATAGATTATTCCTGAAAAGGGCATTTTGTTTCCTTTTTGGAAGAGGCTACCCTCTCCCCCAGTCTGCACATTGGGATGCAGAGAGCCATAAATTTACCGAACAGGAAATTACCCATATGCATCAAGGTCAAGCACATCAACATCGAAAAAAAATCACTACCTCTGTTTCAAAATAATTGAAGTTCTGGGTTTGTCCTAAGTCAAATTTGTTTAAGTTTGATCAAATATATAGAAAATTACAATTACATCTACAACATCAAATTGGTCTTGTGAGATTCTTTATGAAATATATTTTATATCCAAAAAAATTCTATAGAGTTGGTCAAACTTAAGCAAGTTTGACTTATGATAAACCTATAATTTCAATTGTTTTAGAATGGAGAGAGTAACATAAAAGGACCCCGAGAGATGGCTTTGTGACATTCATCTTCTCCATCATCAATAAAACACCCATCTCTCAGAACAAACCATCAATTCCCGCTAGGGGCTGGGCGTCCTCACAGACTAGCCTTGCAAATGTCATGTTTCCTACCCGGTTCACAATGTTGGGAAAGCCATATGTCCATTTAAGACAAAGATTCGGCACGCGTTGTCATCACACATTCGATTGTCGATGCACAATCACCAATTCCCATTGCACGGGAAGATAGGGTCACATTGGACCTTTGGACTCATCCTTGCTTGGTCCAGCACCCAAGAATGGATGCCTCTACATCTTGCCCTCGGGCACACTAGTCGCGCCATCTTTCTCTAGGGTGCCAGGATCTTCGGAGGCAACGCTATGCTTCGCCCGGCGACATATAATAAGAAAATATTCGCCACCGACCATTAGACGAACACGTTAATGGTCGTCCGAACTACCCATGTAAGCTCACCTCTTTGCGACAACAGTGGTGTTGCAGAAGGCCTTCTGCAACAAGATGCTTGTTGCAATCACCACACAACGTTTATTTTTCTTCTGAAAAAAATCTTTGTAACAAAGGTAATGTTGTAGAAAATATTTGCGGCAGAGGATGTGTTGCGCCTTAACTTTTATAACAAAACTCGTGTTACATAAAACTTTTTGCAACATCAAACATGTTGCATAGAGTATTCTAGTGGTAGTTGTTGTTGGAAATATGTCCTAAAGGCAATAATAAATTGATTATTATCATATTTCCCATTTATGATAAATGTTTATTATTCATGCTAGAATTGTATTGACCGAAAACTTAAATACATGTGTGAGTACATAAACTACACAGTGTCCCTAGTAAGCCTCTACTAGACTAGCTCGTTGATCAAAGATGGTTAAGGTTTCCTAACCATAAACATGAGTTATCATTTGATAACGGGATCACATCATTAGGAGAATGATCTGATGGGCAGACCCAAACGTAAGCTCAACATCAGATTGTTTAGTTATTTGATACAGCTTTATTCATGTTAAGTATTAGTTTCTTAGACCATGAGATCATGCCACTCGCGGACACTGGACGAATACTTTGTGTGCTATCAAACGTCTGGGTGATCATAAAGGTGATCTACAGGTATCTCCGAAGGTGTTTGTTGGGTTGCATGGATCGAGACTGGGATTTGTCACTCCACGTGACGGAGAGATATCTCTAGCCCTCTCGGTAATGCAACATCACAAGAAGCTTCATGTGACTAATGAGTTTAGTCATGGGATCTTGTATTACGGAACGAGTAAAGAGACTTGCCAGTAACGAGATTGAACTAGGTATGGAGATACCGACGATCGAATCTCGGACAAGTAACATATCGCCGGACAAAGGGAACTATATACGGGATTAATTGCATCCTTGACATCATGGTTCAACCGATAAAGATCTTTGTGGAATATGGGGGAACCAATATGGGCATCTAGGTCCCGCTATTGATTGTTGATCGGAGAGGACTCTCGGTCATGTCTTCATGATTATCGAACCCGTATGGTCGCACGCTTAACTTTCGATAGCGCTAGGGTAGTATTGAGATATTAATAGTGGAAAGTCTGAAGGTTGTTCGGAGTCCCGGACGAGATTCGGGACATCACGAGGAGCTCCAGAATGGTCTGGAGGTAAAGATCGAACCTGTTTTTTCGGTATTGTATCGGGAAGCCACCGGAAGGTTCCAGATGGGTCTGAAAGTCCCAGGAGGGTTCCACCACGTCCCATACAGTAGCACGGGCTGCAGGGGGCGCCCTGGCCTTAATGAGCCAAGGGAAACAACCCCTACAAGGCACATGTGCCTAGGGAGGGGAAACCCTAAGGGGGAGGGCCTCCACTTAGCTTGGAGGGCACTCCTCCCCCCTTGGCCGCCGCCCCCCGCCTTGGAAGGGGGGCTAGTGATTGCATGCCCCTCCCTCACCCTATATATAGTGGGGAGGTGCAGGGGGCAGCCAACCCTTCCATGCTTGCCCCGTCTCCCTCCCGTTACTCCTCCTCAATGTTCCGTGAATGCTTGGCAAAGCCATGCCGGAATTCCGCTGCCACCACCACCACATTGTCATGTTGGTTCAGATCTCATCTACCTCCTCTCACTCACTTGCTGGATCAAGAAGGAGAGGAAGTCGTCGAGTCGTACGTGTGTGATAACCCACAAGTATAGGGATCGCAACAGTTTTCAAGGGTAGAGTATTCAACCCAAATTTATAGATTCGACACAATGGGAGCCAAAGAATATTTGTAAGTATTGGCAGTTGAGTTGTCAATTCAATCACACCTGGAGATTAAATATCTACAGCAGAGTGATCAGTAGCACAGTAATATGATAGTTTGATAGTAATAATAACGGTAACATCGGTAACAGTTTTGTAGTAGTTGTAATAGTAGCAATAGCGATAGTTATGCAGCAAGAACAAATATGTGAAAAAATCGTAGGCATTAGATCGGTGATTTCGTTGGATGATATTCATCATATATCAGTCATAACCTAGGGTGACACAGAACTAGCTCCAGTTCATAAATATAATGTAGGCATGTATTTTGTAAATAGTCATACGTGTTTATGGAAAAGAACTTGCATGACATCTTTTGTCCTACCCTCCCGTGGCAGTGGGGTCCATAAGGAAACTAAGGTATATTAAGGCCTCCTTTTAATAGAGAACCGAAACAAAGCATTAACACATGGTGAATCTCATCCAACTCCTCATCGACCAGCGAGCCTACGAAGGAATTACTCACTCCCGACGGGGAGCATCATGAAATTGGTGATGGAGGATGGTTGGTGATGACGAAGACCGAAGATCCCCCTCTCCGGAGCCCTGAACATGCTCTAGATCTGGCCTCCCGTTGAAGAACAGGAGGTGGTGGTGGCTCTATATCATAAAACGCGATGAAACTTCCTCTCCTGTTTTTTCTGGAAAAATATGATTTTATAGCGTCGGAATTAGGGTCAGCGGGGCCTCGAGGGCCCCACCACCCACCAGGGCGTGCTAGAGGGGGGTGGCACGCCCTGGTGTCTTGTGGGCAGCCAGGGCCCCCCTCTAGTGGGTCTTGGTTCCAATATTTTTTATTTATTTCAAAATAATTCTACAAAAAGTTTTGTCCAAATCCGAGAACTTTTATTTCTGCACAAAAACAACACCATGGTAGTTCTGCTAAAAACAACGTCAGTCCGTGTTAGTTTCATTCAAATCATGCAAATTAGAGTTCAAAACAAGAGCAACACGATGGAGACGTATCAACTCCCCCAAGCTTAATTCATTGCTTGTCCTCAAGCAATTCAGTTGACAAACTAAAAGTGATAAAGAACACTTTTACAAACTCTTTTGTTCTTGTTATATATGCTTAAATAGCGCCCATGTTTTCAGCAAAGACCATGACTAACCATGCAAGCAATAAAGATCGATGGCATAATGAACTAGCGAGCAATAATAAGATACCTCAAATGCCAACACTTCATCAAAACAATCATGATATAATATGACAACATTGGTATCTTGCTAGCCCTTTCTGAGATCGCAAAATATAAATGCAGAGCACCTCCAAAGTTCAAGCAACGACTAAACATTGTAGTTCATGGTAGAAGAGATCTAGTCATGATGCATTCAACATTAACTATAGACAATGCATGACGATGACAATAGTGCTATCAGGTCTGGCGCTTGTTTGAGAAGGTGATGACTCAACATAAAATTAAATAGATAGTCTCTTCGCAGAGGGAAGCGGGGATCTGCAGAGGTGTCAGAGCTCAAAGCTAAAATCAAAGATAAATATAATTTTGGGAGGTGCACCCTTCCTGTCAACGTCATGACCAAGAGTTATCAATATCTTCCATGTTAAATACACTAGCGGCGATTCAAAAGCAGTAAAAGTAAAGGTTTACTCCCCCTCCACCAACAAACACAAGCCATGGCTAGCCGAATCCATGGGTGTCGTCCATACCAACAACAGTCCCGGGGGAGTTTTGTCTAATTGTTTGCAATTTTTTATTTCGAGACTGGGCATCCCTATTACCGGCCCCTCTCGTGCAAAGATGA